TTTTTTTTTTTTTTTTGCTTCTGGTTCTAAATTATCTCAGAATGTTGTATCTGGTTGAACGAAAAATAGTTTCATTCAGTCTTAATTGTTTCTACGTTAACTGGTTGCTTTAATGCGGAATGTTTGCTATAGAAAATAACTATTTGCGCTTGGTCGAAAAATTCTATAAAACAATGAATAATGATATTTGCCTTCTATCTTCTAGTTTAAAAGGACTTATTCCCTTCTTACAAGTAAATTATAAAACTCTAATGAACCTTCAGAAGCTTTCCCTTTAGTCAATTATCTTTTCACTTTACTGCGGGTATTATGTTTTTTGATTTGCTCTTGTTGTTTTGAGTAGATCGTAATAGGAGTAATAGAAACACTGGTAAATACAGTATGTTCTCATTTTGTTTGCATCAATTATTTATAGAAAAGTAACCAAACATAATATTTATAATTCTTAGTTTGAAAAATTAATCCAAATTTCACAGCAGTATACTCATCAGCATTTCATTTGCATGATATATCTAAAGCAATGTTTTGAACTCACCTAGCCAAGAATATCTTATGCTCTTTAGTGAACGTGTAAATTTTTAATAGAGATGTTCATTAGGTTAGGTGAATTCAGATCATATTCTGTTTTCAAGGGTTGTAACTAGTCGTCTCTGATCCATCAGGTTTTAAAGGAAAATGATCGTTAATCCATGGGTGAAAAGTGTCGTTCTTTTAGCATTGATGATCTATCGCAGCACGCTGAGCGGTAAGTAATTACCACATTGATGGTTGGTTCTGTTTTGCAAGGATCGGAGAAAATTAAGAAGTAAAGTCACGCAGCAGAACCTTGTAAACGTGGTTTAGGCAGTTAGCAATTGCTGCGCCCCTTAAGCAAAAATTTTGACTCATTTACCACCGGCTCAATCGAGCGCCACTCTATGTCAAAATGTTTTTTGTCCCCTTTTACAGAGTGATTTGAAAGGGTTATTGAGTTTTTTCTTTCTGTTTTTCTTTTTCTTCAATAACGCGTAATCCATTCCCCTTTAGCGAAGCTTTGCGAACGAAAATGAAGTTTAAGCTTCAAACATTTTCACTCTGAATTTCATTCTCAGTGTTGATAGTCCAACTTTTGTCTTTTATGACAAATTCCATCTTAAGCCGGGTAAAATTGCAAAGGTTAATTGTGGAACATTCACTAAATTTGTATCGATACTTTGCGTTTTCATACTGAAGTTTTACTCTGTGCTTGTAATTAGTTTTATGGAACGGCCACCTTTCACTTATTTTTGCGTACATCCATGCGAATAACAGCGCAATAAAAGTGGGTTTTTAATTATTTATACTATCACTTGACTATCAGTTTGTTATGCAATACAAAAATTGCGGCGGATAAAGAAAAAAGTTTATGCACGTGAAATACGTACCTTAGACCCTAGGCGTCGTCTAACGCGTGGTGATAAGGATTATTAAATTTAGAGCTAATTTGTCATTTTCTTTTATTTTGCCTAAAACAATGGTGAACCATACATCTTTTCTCCGTTAAATTCCCACGGGTTCCATCGACCGAAAGACAAATATTATGCGAGAACCCAGCGTAAAGAGGACCCTACTAAGAGTCTAAAGACAGGTCACCTGCTTAATACAGATTTCACAGTTATTGCACGAACATCTGTTGGTGAATCAAAAGCATTTCAATTTTACTTTTAGAAAGAACATGCAAAAGTGATCGTCCTCAGCAAGTAGTATTCAGCCAAAGAGTACAGGACTACATTCTGTCAGGTCCCGTAGTCACGACAGAACTAGTTGCTAGTGATCAAGAGTGCCAGATGCGATGTATTTTGAGTTTTAAGTGTGATGTTTACAACTTGGGTCCTCTGGATGATTCTTTTCGTCGATCCTGTCAGATCTTGAGATATGACCTCAAGAGTTACATTGTTAAGCGCCAAAAGGGCTGGAGCTTCCGGGCGAGAAAGGTAGCATGTTTTAACTTTGGTTTAAATTTTGAAAATCATCGGAGGCGAGAGACCTCATAGACGACTTTCCCGCAGATTTCGGAAGGTTGAGTCCGAGCGAATATGGAAGGTTGGGTCCGAGCTCTAGCAATGATAATATCTTTTTAATTTTTTATGGAAAAAGACACTTTTCTCTTAGACTGCCTCTCTTGGCAAAGCAAAATGTATGGCTGTCAGAAGCTGTAATTTAAACCTGACGAAATCCTAATGAAAGAGTGGGATGGGAAAGTAACTTCATTTTGACCATCATCCCGTTCACGAGAGTAAGCAGCCGCACTTACAAGTTGTGTCATGCATACGAATACGGTATAAGCACAGGCTAAGTTTTATGAATAGCGTCAGTTCAAATGATATATTGAAACCACAAGTAGGTGGTTTTTAACATTCTAAGAAAGAAAACTAATCTAAGTCCCACCCAAAAGCTACTCTTCTCAGTTGAATGAATGTTTTTCAACACTGAGGCGTTACTTCCGAAATAACTTTTGTACTGTTAAGTCCCGAGAGGGCAGTACATATTATTGGTAATAGATATTGATCCCTTTTCAAACGAGCTTTATTTGAAGATCTAACTGAAGATGTCGATGAGAACTTCAAGACGGTGTCATAGTGGCCTTTATAAACAAACTAAGTTCCCTTAATCACAGAGAGATCTTTTTAACTATAAATGTTTTATTTTGCGCTATTAATGCGTCATAGATATATTTCTCCTTTCTGTATACCAACATCTTATTTATTTTCACAGTGCACTTGTTCTCCTTGTTTGAATGATGGTATTTGTTTCTCTATTGATGAAGCCAACACACCGCGTTGTGCTTGCACGAGTAACTGGAGAGGTCCTATATGCGCTGAAACAATCGGTGAGTAAACCATTAGACACACACTGTAAGTCTACGCCTAGTGTCACAAATGCTAACAAGTACAAGGCTGTACTGCGCTTTATCCTCGAGTCTCGAAACATTCGCATGTGTATGTGGACATGAAGTATTTAACATCATAGACAAAATTCAGTTTCCGTGATGTCCGTAACATAAATATGTTCCTTTACAAATTTGAATAGCACAACCTCAGTTTGAAAGCTAATTTGAGACCATAGTTAACAAGTTTTCAACCAGAATATTGAGGTAACAGATGTGATACTGCCATTTTGCTCTCGCACTGGAAAGATCTGAAGTCATACCAAAGGCTACGCAAAGAACCCAACTGACTAAATCAGAAAACTGTGTTCGTCTTGTCGCGTTATTACATCCGTTGCTGTTCAATTTTCATAAACATTGATTCACAAATAGATCCCATGTAGTCTTACGTCTGTTCAGTAATAAATCATAGATGATGTCAAATTGTGGTAGAGTGTCACTGATGTTCTTACCACATATTGATGTCTTGTATGATCTATTACTATACAGACTCACGGCAACATGGTATTCATTTGTATTATATTATAGCAAAGCAAACTGTTGTTAGTGGTGACGTCATCTATGCGCCTGTCTTCCAATAGATCGTAAGTAAGAACCAATTAAAAGGCGTGTATCATCCATTTAAATATATTATAGACAGTTACTCATTCTAACTTTTCTTTAAATATAGCTTTTATTGCAACTAATTTCTTAGACCAGAGTATAAGTTGCGAATATAATTTGCCGGTTTCCAGGTTGCAGAAATGACTGGAAAAACTACAGTATATTTTGCTACAAAATGTTCAAAACGAAAAAAGTGACATTTTTCGAGGCTAATTCCAGCTGTATAAACGAAGATGCTGAACTGATTTCAATTGAGGACTTTGAAGAATTAGGTTTTCTTGACGAGCTCTTAAGGCAGGAGGGTGTCGAAAAGATATACGTGGGTATGACTGACATTGCAGAAGAAGATCGATGGGTGTGGATGGATGGTAGTCCTGTCACTTTGGATCCCTGTGGCACGGAAATCACCCGAATGGTGATACAAAGGAAAATTGTGGGGAGTATGTAGAGAATCATGGCTTCCATGACAAAAAATGTGAAAAAGATAAGAGATATTACGTTTGTAAATACTCGTTGTATCACCTGTAAATTTCCAAAGTTCCGGATGAACACCCCAGCCAAAGATGTGTCTGATTAAATATCGGATAAAGTTAAGCAATTTGATATGCTCAGTCGTTTGTCCACATCAAAAACGAGGCAGACCAGGTTTATCAAAGGAACGTATTCCCAGCATTTGAGCCCGGCCGATCTATGGGTGCCCCTTTCAGGAAAGCAAGTTAAAAACAAATCAGGCTTCCCTGATTTGGCTCTCCATTTAGGCTGTTACGGCTGAAGAGAGGCACTGAGAAACTTTACTATTTTGTCCAAGAACTGATTAACTCCACAAAATCACTTTCACGCCCATGATTACCACGCTTTTCATGTTTTCTTCAAAATCCCGGATGGGTTTTATCCACCTTAGGAACACTGGAAAAATGCGTTCTATTGTAAAATGGAATCAATTGAAAGAATTGATCAGACTGTAGTTTTCATGTTACCTTTCTACCGTTTTAACTTATGGATACGCGAAGTGTTGAAATAAGTTTTTAATGGTGACTCTGATATGGAAATGAGTCACTCACTTACTCACTAGGATGTAGACACACTATAATTTGTCATCCCAAACTCGCTCAGGCCTAACGCCATCATCTTGGAATAGTAGCCCTGCATAAACGATAGCCAGGCTTGTTACAGTTTATACCTAGCATCGTTGCCTTAAATGCCACCTTTCGGGTGACCAAAAACTTATTTAGTAAAAGCGCAAACCCATTACTGTGAATCGCTTCGATTGTTTACGATCTGATGTAGACAAGAACCGTGGGAACAATCCAATGCAAGTTTATTGATTAACTTCAATTACTAGTATATAGACATTAGCAGCTGGGGCAATCAGTGACACTTTGGCAGACCAAAATAATCTCGTGCCTCTCTGACTTAAAGAAGACTTTTTTGATTTACTGCCACATATCTTTAACTTCAAAAGGTGGAAAAACTTGCGGTCACATAAAAAACGTTCTGAAGTGCAACGTTTCCGAGGCCGAGAAATTTGGAGGGTTGTTATCAGATGCAAGCGGGAGAAAACCTTGTAAACAAAGATAAACGCGTTACAAAGCAATTATTTCTTGAGCGCCTGTGAGGCCAAACGTGACATAGGAATGTAATTTGGATTGTGTAGCCGCAGAAAGACTTGGACCGCAGCTACTAACTTTGGAAACAGAAATTTGATGACCACAGGATATGTGTTAGTACTATTTACGTAGACTGTGTTTCATTATTCTACGGATTTGGATGGTAACCATCATCCTGGATTTGTCCATGACTTTATGGAAGCTTTCGGGCACAGCCACAAAGTGAGGCCGAAAAACCCCTCGATACTACTTTAAACACTTTTACATGCTTTTATCATTACATCGCAAGTTTTGATACAAAACTACTAATTGCAAGCGAACAGACATATTTCATTTCTGGATTATTTTATCCACTGGTTGGCAATAGGTATTCCTTGATTCAAAATTGTATTTGCATTATTGCAAATATTTATTGAAGTATTAGCTCTAAGTGTTGGAGTAAAGATAAATAAGACAAATCCTTTGTGCGTCATTTTTATAAGAGCTATGTGGGTCCATAAAACGATGCAATTTAAATGAAAGGCTTCCAACCTGGCCTCATTTCAAAAGAGAGGGCATCTCAGAAAAAGTTCATTGATCCTTGGAGATCATTTGATATCTTCATCATGTTCAGTATTATGGCCCCCACTATAGTATTTTGAAAATATTTGAATTCAATTCTTTGTGCCGGAAACGGTTGGAGTGCATAACTTTTCTTATCGTTTTCTCGAAAAGTTTGGGAATAGAGCGCAATATAATGCGTTTCAGTCTTAACCATTTGGACTATGGAAATGATTTTTATTTTAAATAATCATTCAATTGAATTTTCCATTTTGAAAAAAGGTTACTTATTGACGCTAAGGTTCCTTTTAATCACTTAATTGTTAGTAATTACACTTACATATACGAAAAAGAGATTTCACACTACCACCAATTTTCAATAGAAATCTTTAAAAGCATAGCTATGTGATGTATGAAGACAGTCGCTTTGATTACAAAAATTCCACTCTTCAGAAAAAGGCTTTCTCAGACAGGAATATGTTCTAAACAGTCTGAGAATATTTACAGCTGTACAAGGCTATTACAAAGAGCCTTATAATTAATTTCCACAAATAAAATATCTGTTTATTACCGAACTAATTTATATCCCTCTGAAGAAGTCCCTGATAATGAACCCGTACTTTGGCGTTGCATAATTCAATCTCTTTCGTTTTCAAAAGTTGTACAAAAACGTTGTTGTTTAAAACAAATGTTTCCTGGACTTCAAATGAAGCACATGGTTGTATTTTTCATTGCTTACACTCATTCTGTGGTGTTGTTTCAGACTGAAAACCTGCGATCTCTATCTCCGCCAACAATGCCTTAGAAACTGTACTTCCTTTATACTAGTATCTTGCGCTCTTATTACATAGCAAAGAGCATTTAGAGGCTGATAATGCATCCCTCACTGAGTGTCAATGATCCTGATCCGTTATTTTCACCAAAGGTGGGAAAGACTTTGACTGCTGAAGGTAATTGGGGGTCCTCACCTCTTCATCGGAAGTCGTGCCATCGTCAACTATACGAACGTTCTCGTAGAACTGTGTACTATCCCATGACTGCAACAAAAGTATAGACAAACTTCTGTCAATGTCGAATTTGCTTTTAAACCCAATGAAATTAATTCAGCGATAAAAAAGTAAACACACAGAATGTAACAGTAGTATTTCAACCAACTAGATTTTCGTCCACGAATCCCAGCTTTAAATGGACTAGACGCGGAAACCTGAGGAAAACCTCTCGGATCAAGGAGTAGAGATAAATTCAGACTGCACCCCAACCTGGATCAGAGGAATTAGAGCTGAGTGCTCCAAACTCGGCACCGTCCCTGCCCTCTCCTCCCCGCCAAAATATGAAAACCACCTCTAAGCGGTCACCCAATACTAACAAGAGTATTACCCTTACGGCAGTCAATTATCAAAATTCCGAAGTTAAGTTCTGTATAATCCTGAAAATATTAGAACCGACCTCTAAGAAGCGGCTATTAATACGGAATCAAGCACTCATTTGTAAACTGTATAGATTAATTGAAGTCTTGACTACTCGGGGAACTATAGAATCAACGAAATGCAATGACATGACTGTATTAAGGACACCTTACCTGTTCCTTGTCGCTTAATAGCGGTCTACCAAGCACACTTGGCAAATTCTCAGGCTCCAGACTGGAAATAGTTAGACCAACCAACACAAGTACTATACCTGAAGGCACAGAGGTTGATAACAAATTTCACATGGATAATAACGATAATCGATTGTTTATTGTAATCGTCACGTTAGTGAAGTGGTGGAAAGTAGATGATATTCGGCTATGTAATGGCGATTACGATAATAATGATGAAAATTACGACGAGGGTGGTAATAACAGTATGACGATAATGACAGTAATGATGATGATGATGATGATGACGAGTACAGAGATGAAAATGATGATGATAAAACTGCCGATGACGATGACGAGTGTAACAACCAAGTGGAATCGTCCTTTCTCTATTATCGGCTACAAAACTCTAATAACAATAAAGGGATGAAGTTCCTAAGGAAATTGTGTTGCTGCGTCGGTGGGAGAGTACATGTATAACAGGACAAATCGCTCTGACGAAGGGCTAACGCTCGAAACGCCAGCTTTTAAACTTTCTACGTTGGCCAACATTTAAGTTCACCATTACCCCTTTATTAGAATGTCGCTTAAGAGGGCCACATGGTAAGGTGGCTAGATTTTGAACTAAAAGCCTCCTGCTGTACGAATTGTTGCACTAGACGAAGATTTGTTTATCGTTACCGACTTACCTACAACCTCGGAAATAATGTACCCAACATCTAGCATCTTAAATTCTCTGACAAATATCCAGTCCTCGAACCAGACTACTATTGGGACCATGCATAAGACGCGGTTAGTCACCACAGCCCCTGAGAGATAACGCAGGGTCAGTAAGCACAAATTTGGTATAAACTGACTCCGACGGCCCTAAACCTTAATGCCATAATTAAGTTAATTCATAATATTAAGAAGAGCAATGAGATTAAAATTGGGTGAAAGTTACGAGTCTCGGGGCTTTTCAACGAAAAATGAAGAATTCTAGGTCACCGCGAAAATTCTGAAACAATTCGTCGAATTTACGGGATATCTATTGTTTCGGCGTATGCGATTGTTTGGCCCTGAAAATTCTTCTAAGATTAAGATAGAGAATTCGCTCTGACGTTTCGTTAAGTCTGTGCCCTTTTCTTTCACTGCAAAATAGGAACGCGAACAGTAATATTTCCATGACTGATACTAGTATGACAAATTTGCTACTGCGTGCGCATGGATGTCACATCACAACAACATCAACAATCTTTAAAATCTACTCTTCCAAACCAAATCTACAAGTCGTTACAAGAACTAAACCGTGAAAAAAAATTAAGTACTGATTGACTGGGACCATAAAGGGATTTCGGAACCAAGAGGGATGACATGAGTGATTGTGGGAGATGAAGATATCACAATTGAAAAACTGAATAACAGGTAACTTAACATCCTTACCAACTTCATTCATCATGTAATCCACTAGCAGTGCAGCCAGCCATCCAGATATCAAAGTAAGGAAAATTATTGAGAAAACTGCCTTGCCATCCCCCCAGTTTATCTACAAAGATGAACAAAATAATGATCTGTTTACATTGTACATATAATGGTAATCTAATGTCCTTAACATATGTTACCAAAAGGCCTAGGAACCACTATAACCCATACTAAACACAAACACAAGATGCATCACACAAGGTCCGAGCTTACTGGTAACCTTTGTAAAACAAAGGCCTCTTGTGGGTGGTAACAACAAGCTATTCTAACTATCATTTGCAAGCAATTAAAGATTATACAAATGTTATTAAAAAAACGCACACATATTACAGCTACATGTGGCAGCTGAAGCATGTAACCCCATAGGTGATGTGCTTTTGGAGAAAGATAGAGTATTATGCTAAATTCAAAAGTTGACATGCTCAAATAACAACAAATCCATCTTTGCATTTTCTTCCTGGCAATGTATCAGGTGCACATGAAAATACAGATGGAACTAATTAAAATCCTTTGGACCTGAGAACCATCATAACCTTTGGATGTAAGGTATATCTGCACTTTACCTGATCATAATCCTCATGTTTTTGCATGATAAAGAAAAGTCCCAGAGCAAAGATCCCACCAAAAATATTGTTACCAATACCACCACTGACATAGTGAATATTTCCTCTCTTGGAGCGCCAAAATACTGCAAAAGAACCATTATAGCTGTTTTAATTATCTTGTATTTCTCTTTTGAGCAACCCAAATGCGTGGGCAATCTTGCCAAATGTGGTTCAGAGACACTCTTTAAAATAAAACAAGCTACATTGTATAATCAATCTACTGTATTTGTTCAACCTGAACAAGCAATTCAGTTTCATCACCATTTATTCATATGCTAGTATATCAGGATAATGATGGCAGTTCAAGTGGTAGTATATATACATATAAACAGCAGCTAACCTCCTACAGAACACTCAAGTACTCCTGATAGATTTCAAAAAACAATGAGAAACTAAACACCATTAAAGAATATGGAAATGACATCAATTATTTTCAAGGCTGGCTTCATAGTCTCAATAAAAACTGTATGATTCCTCCAGATGATGACTGACTATTGGCTGGGCTCACAAGAGAACCTCCAGTGGAACATCAGAGAGTAGCTTCCTTCCCTAACCCTTTCTCAATTTTTTGCTCTGTGTTTCATGAAGACAGTTTTTTAATTCTCTTTTGTCTCCTTTCCTCATTGGGTTATCAATTCATTAGATCTAAAATGTGGTATTCTGTCCACTTTGGTTTGGGAATTTGGGGATCTCTGACATGTGACCTGATTTAAATGTTCCTTATCAATTGCCTATTTCAGCCCTTCAAGCTTTGAAAAAATGATTCTTCTCAGTATTTAAAAATTTGCTTGGAACTAAAAAAAAAAAAAAAAACCTTCTTAATCTTTAGGCGTTTTATTATGATTCTGTTTTGAGTTTAGAGGAGACATTGTCTCAAGACTGACTGGCGTAGTGATATAGGTACTAAACAGATATCTTATATCTAGAAGCTAGTTTTGGTCTTTGCAGATACTGTCAGCTAGCAGAGAAACATTAAATGAAATGTTACATGTTCTTCACACTAAAAGAAGGAAGAGTGTTTATATTCCCAAAAATCTGCAAATACCAAAACCAAGCTCTCTAATAAGATATCACTTAATTTCTTTTTTGTTATATATCTGAAGCCAACAGAAAAATAAATAAGAAACACCTTAAGAAAAAATACTTACTTGAGCTCATTGACCACATTACTGATCCACCCAAAAGAGCCAGTAAAGATCCAGCTAACTCTGCAGCTGAAAATGGTGTACATTTAGACATGTTCTCTTCATTTACTGAGGGTGACACAGTTGTATTGTCACTGATGTTCATTGGTACTGTAGTGCCATTTGGTAGACAAGATTTGGGATTCTTTGCAGCTAAACCAATGTCTGAGGCTGAGACCAAAATGATTCCAATAGATCCAATGACAATTGCACCAAGTTTGCTTGCAGAAACTTGATATGTGGACTTAATGCATAGAAGAAGACAAAGATTGAAATTTAAAAAAAATAATAAAAGCAAGACAAACATTGAGATATCTTTCAGCTGGTAATTCTCATATCATTTAACCCTTTAACCTTTAAACCCCTAAGAGTGACTAGCTTCTAATGTCACCCCTGAATCACACATTACGGTCATAAGAATAAAGCGAATGATCACCAACTGAAGAAGCTCTTGATTGTAAAAGAATTTCTCCTTGTCAATACCTTGGGAAATGAATAGAGTCGAGTATAGAGAATATGCATGCTCATAGTAGAGCTAAAAGGTTAAATTCTATGAGTAACCAAGAGAGAGTTTCTTCTTACAATATCAATACAATATCAAGCAGACAAGTAATGAGATTATGGAAAAGTATCAATTAGGATATCATAAGTTGATCTAAAACCAAATTCTTCAACTAAAATCACAAGAATTATATGGCAGATAGTATAGATAATTACGGATGAGATCTTGGAAATGCTATCGGGGTTAAAATAGTGGATTGTTTGTATCTAACAACTGAAGTGGATTCCATTGATAACACTGACAATGCTAAAGTGTGGCAAGAACTGAACAAAGCAGCACATGAACCACAGGCACAACGCACCACTGAGTGAAATTCTTTCCACAATCTAGCACCCTCTGAAATGATCAGTCACACCAGAAAAAAAAGGAATCCCTGTATAATTTGTTTAATTAAAGAGCCTTTCTAGGCTACATCTGAAAAAAAAAATTCACATTACTTAACCATGGACTTGTACAACAAGAGATGGAAATTCTACAGTAAAAGCATGATTGATGCCACTATGAAATTTCACTTTCCATGTTCTAGTTGAAGATACATATTTACAACACTGCATTAATCAATCCATTCCTTATTGCTTCTAAGGACAGAAGCAAGAAGTTTAAAAATCCAGATGAGGAGGAAAAATGTAGGTGGCAGTGATGGAGGAAAGAAAGAGTCTTAAACTGTTCATTGATGTCCCTCAGATTTATCGATGTTGCTACTGTTTTTTTTTTTCACTGAAATTGGAGAACTGCCAGCTCAACTAGATCTGATGAAAAAAACTATTATAAGACTGGTCTTTGATCTTAACCAAATTAAAATAATAAAGAAAGGAAACTACACTGCTATAAAATGGCCCATGCTGGCTGACCCATTTAATTCCTTTACAGTTGCCCTGGTATATAATCCTCTATAGTTGCACTGTTTAGTGCTACACAAACAAGACATGACATTTGCAGTTGTCTTTTAGCAGCCAAGTTCCCATCAAGTTTTGTTGTGAAATCCCCCTTCACTCTCTCGAGCGCTACAAACTCAGTTCTCTCGTCCATACTGAACCAGATAAATGAACACTGCACACAAAATACACGAACCAATTCTCAACTGAAAAGCACATCTCGGGCATCTATCTCTAAAACTCTATAAAAAACGTTGATCTATTTATATTTATATATCTATATATGTACATGTACAGCTCTATACGCTCTCTCGGGCTCCTCAAAATTCTCGCGTGCAAACAGAACTCGATAAATACACAATGCGTGACTAATAGACGATTACTATTCTCAACTGAAAAGTAGATTTTCGATACGAATTTTTCAATTTTCTACAAAAAAACGTCGATCTACTTCAGATCGTTGATTGTTGGGGTAAATTTACATGTATAGCTCCCTACGCTCTCTCGACTCCTCAAAATTCTCGCGTGCATCTTAACTCGAAACAATCAGCATGTCGACTACTAGACGAACCATTCTCAACTGATAAGTTCATTTTAGGCACGTATGTTTCAAACCCTACAAAACAACGTGAATCTTTTTCAGGTCGTCGTTTGTAGGAAATCGATTTAGTCTGTGACACTTTGGAACAAGCAAACAAGAAAAGTATAATTCTAAACACTCACCCTGCCACAAGGTAGTCTCTCTAAAAGAATTGAAAACCACGGAGCTGCTGTCATAAACACTCCGGCTGTAATAGGATTTAACACTTTCAAGCCGTACATAAACAGGATGTAGGGAGCAGCTAACTGAACAAATCCCATCACAGCAAATTTCCAGAGATTCCTTACTGATTTGAAGTTATTTCGGAAATTTTCTTTATGTTCACTGTTTGTTGATGAAAGGAAGGTCATGTAAACAATGTAAAGCGCTACAGTCCCTGGCGTTCGAAGAAGAAAGACGAGACTCGGTGAGTTGTAAGAATGTACCGCGCAATACATAACCACCGGGAAAGTTCCTCTGATTATTCCAAGGAAAAGGAACGCTGAAAGACTTCCTGTAGTAAAATGTCCTCTCGGGGCCATGATTACTGCTGAACAGTGCGTCCGCGTTGTGACGACAAGTTATCAGAAATGTTCAATCTGCAAATTTCGATTATTGAGGTTCACTTCCGTTTACTTCCCAGATGCCTTTGCAAGCGGTATCAGTGTAGCTCGAAAAGGCCTCTGGACAACCTGGGTCCCAGACTTCTAAAATTGGTCCTCGGTAACTTTTTGCACTTTTCGTCTGCTCAGATGTTAAACTGATTGCAAGAGATTATCATTCTCCTGCTGATTGGTATTCTTTGCAATTTTAGAACTGCCATGTCCGTAGAAAGGCCCTCTTTCATAATAAGGAAGCGTACTTATATGAAATAGTATCTCGCCAACCAAGAGAGGTTAATTTTTTCTAGCCACAAAAAAGGCTGAGTGCGGTTTTAAACAACGATTTTAGGTACGGGTGACCCAGTGATTTAACAGAAAAATGGGTTTAACCCGTGGATTTTTAACGATAGAATCTATGGTGTCCTGAAAACATCTCCGGTTTTGAAATTATTGCCTCTCTGTTTCGCTCAAGACAACCTCAGCTTTTTAAGTTTTTTCCTTCAAAATTGAAGTCTGCCACTCACTCTACAACCATGGCCATGAGTCAGAGATCATTATGCATCATTTGAAATATGCCACTTTCTTCATAACCCAGTATGTTGTTGCACCTTGAAACTGCGGTAAAATCAGAAATTGGGGGCTTCTTCAAATCACCAAATGATAATCATATTACTAGAGAAAATAACAACAAACCAACGAATGAAAAGAAACTAATAATTGAAATAGGAGAAAGAGGGGAACTCCTTCACGAGGCATGGGCTACAAGGTGATACGTCCTTCATCCAGAAGTCCTTGCGTGACGTAAAGAAATTGATTGGCGCCTGGGTAGGAGCGGAAGTGAACTCTTTCTCGAGAGACCTTAACTTCACTCTAACATAGTAAAAGAATTCAGTTATGCCTCAGCGAGTGCCTTTCACTAAAAGAACGATTTCAGCGTTTATTTTCCTCGGAATTATCTGGGGAACTTTTCCTTTGGTGATACACTGTGCAATTCGTTTCATCTGTGGCAGAGATTCACCAGCACTTATTTTTGTCTTTCGTACTCCAGGAGCCGTTGTTCTCTATGTTGGCTCGTTTGTATTCCTCTCGCTTGGAAGCACCAATAACAGGGAGTTACTCCTTAACAACTTCAAAATCGCGAGGAATTACTGGATGTTTGCTGTAATGGGTTTGATTCAGTTAGCTCTACCTTACATTCTATTTACGTACGGATTGAAAGTCTTGAGCCTAACAACTGGTGGTGTCTTCATTACATCAGTTCCGCTGTTCTCCATAGTGTTAGAGAGGTTGCCTTTTGTACAGGTGAGGTAATTTTATTCGAAAATTCATTCCCTACCCTAAATGTTCTGATATAAAATCATTTTGATGTTTCCAATGATTTTGCACGGAAGGCTACAAGAAAGAAATTCATGCAATCACATGACAGACAGCATATTACATTTGTTGCTAAAAAAGGCCTACGAAAAACATCATTCATCCCGACCCCAAAAAAAAATAAAAAAAGAAATAAAAAAAAGAAATATTGAAAAAAAAGAAAATATTTAAATCAGTGATTCACTTAATCTTTAGCCTTTCAAATTTCTGACAGAAGTTCAGTGTGTTTTGGGATTGTTTTGCGAAATGGCAAAAGCGGAAGTCAGGGAGACTTCTTCGAGTTTCCGAGAAAACCGGAAACAGAAATGCGGAGTCGGTGCCCTGGTAACTAGAGGTGCATTCATGCCCAATCTCTTTTTGAATTAACACATAATCCAAAATAAAGATGGCGTCCAAGAAAACCGCTCAGGGATACCTCCAGACGTTTTTGTTCCTCGATTTTTGCGTTCGTGGGAGGAGGAAGGGAGGAGGAGGTAGCCAGCGATGAACTAGAATCCCATCAAGCATGCTGCAGAAGCCGGGATAAGCTTTTGTTTCTTGTCGGTTATCTGGCTCGAGTGTAAACCTCAGTTCTACTCTGCAATTTTGTAAGAAAGTGAATAACCACATTTCTTGGCTTACTTGTATAGGTTTTATTCTTCCTAATTTGTTATTTTCTTCATGTGAGGATTCTCGATATTTGCCATACAAAAACTTACCATGGGAATGAGCATTTTAATGATGATAATAATAATAGTACTGATAATAATAATAATAATAGTGAGACAGATAATAATCATAATTTAAATTAATGCTTACATAGTGCTAGGATTCCGTAGGTAGATGGTGTTTAGTGCTTTACAACATTCTAAATAAAACCTATCAGCTTTGTTACAAAATGTCATATCTGTCAATTTTCCTACTATTTACAATCAGGTATAGGTTAAATGGCAATTCTGTACACTATTTTAACGCGCAAAATCTAGACTACTATCCACACTTAATGAATTTATTAAAGGTCATGAACAGGACAAAGTAGATGCGTTTTTTTAAAGCTGACTTTAAAATGAGTGCACTACAAATTTTAGATGATATCTATTAACTAAAATAATAATAATAATCAAAATGGTAATGATGATGATAGCACTGATTACATAAGTTATTTGATGAAAACTTCTATGACAATCAGCATACATATACTTAAAATGCAAAGTGAATGTGTGATTGTAATAATTTAAGTGACGCTGATTAGAAGAAAATATGTTTTGTTGCCATTGGTGTTACAAGCAACTAGGTTACCATTTCTAGACGAAAAATTAAACATGTTCATTTTTTTTTTCACATTTTAGCATAGTTAGTCTAGGCTCACACAATGAACTTCTATAAGTGAAAGGATTTGTATTGTGATAAATGGTCTTTTATAACTGTTCTGCATAAACTAATTATATTTGTTTACTCCATCTGTTTTAATCCTTCAGAGCACATACATGTACTCGATATCCAAATGCAAGCTTGCTGCAGTATTGTCTATTGCTCTAGCTGGAATTACTATGGTCTCAGCAGTAGGCATGAACTTGGCACAAGATTGCGGCAGTTACTGTGACCAGAGAGAAGAAAAACCTGAGGAAGATACCTCCCCAGAGGTGGCATTAAGGAACAGCAATTTTAGGAACTTACAGACAAACTTACCTCGCACAGTGCAAAGATCTTGCACTCCATTCTCAGTCATGGAATTAACAGGATCTTTACTGGCCCTTATAGCAGGATCCATCTCATGGTCAATAAGCTCAAGTAAGTTCTATGGCCAACAGCCTGCGATGAAGTGAGACTTCTTCATTGCTAAATATACACCTGGAAACTCTGGAATAAGTGGGTTAAGAAGCCTTTTTTTGGAAGGGGGTGAAAAGGGGTGTGTAAATCCACAGAGCTGCTTTGATTCAAAAACAAACTCTGTAGATCTGTTTAAAAAAAAAATTATCTGGAATCTGTTTGCTACATGACTTGTGGATTTGTGAAAAACATGCATCAAACTTTTGTGTGTATTGTTGAAAATCATGCTTACACTTTTTAAAGAACCTTTAACTGAATAAAAGAAAAATTTAAAAATAAATTTTCAAAACAATCTGCATTTTTTTAACAAATATTTTAAACAATTTTTACAAAAAAACTGATACAATTTTTTAAAACTAAACTAGCTAGCAGCACTCTGTAAACTGTTGTTATAAAACTTGTTTTATTCTCTGACATGTTTTGTCTCAATGTCATAGACTTCTTCAGGGAATTTTACAAGTTAACACTAATGGCCTGCATGTATATTTATAAGCCTAGTTAATGGCTATTAGGTAAGCAACTGACCATAAAGGCATGGCCAAATTTACAAACAGATACAGGAAAAGTTTTAGTTAAAACCATGACCCCCAAATCATTTTCCACCTCACCTAGAGAATATTTTACCTGCTAGCTGCTAACTATGGCTTATAAATGCAACAACTTGTAAAAATTCCCTGAAAAAGTCTGGTACAGTTAGACAAACCATGTAGGAGAATAAAGCAAGTTTTACAACAACTGTTCACTGAGTGCTGCACACTATAGTTTAGGGAGAAGAAGTGTTTAACTTTTCAGGTACATTACATGTATTACACCAGGATTATGTCAGTTGTACCATTCTACACACTTTGGCCATTGTTCTAACAAACTGTTAGTTATGTGACTCTTAAACATCCTGCCATGACATGTTTTTGCAGTATTTTGGCACTCCAACAGAGGAAATATTCATTCAGTTAGTGGCGGTATTGGTAGCAATATTTTTGGAGGAATGTTTGGTCTTGCATTATTTTTTGTGATTCATCATGGAGATTGTAAGGTATTTAAATAGGATTACATGTGTTGTAAATTAATATGTTTTATAGAGGATCAAAGTTATTAAAATCATTAAATTCAATGATTATTGTGAATGTGCAGGGACCAAAAGAAAAATAGATTACTTGGAAATCATGGAAAACTGCACACTAAATGACATGAACATAACTACCATGACCCAGCCTCTTTCGTGAATTATATGTTTGTTAATTGTCTGTCTGATGTTTGCTGATGTTTTTTTACTTTTTGTTTTTCACTGTCCAAAAAAAATGATGAGTTAACTATGATTAACCTTTTGTACCTCATTTAAGATCAACTGGAACTGGAGTGATCCTAAATCCATTTTTTACTGCATACTTTTCCTTGTGGTGATGTCTGACTGGCCAATAAGTTTTGTGTCAGATTTTATAAGAAGAGAAATTGGTGAGTTTAGATTAGATGTAGATACTTACTGGTAGCTCTATTCACTGTGTTTACTGGCCACCTGTAATGACTTTGATATTTTGAAAGGCACAGTTACTTTTGATCAGTAACCATGGGGGAGGAACTAGGGATTAAAAGTTTTCAATTAATCACAGTTTCTTTGTGGCTTTTGTCATGGGAATGTGTCTCGTGCTTATAGATGATGTCTTTCAAGGCAGGTACACTGTAAGCACTGTTAGCATGAACATTGTCTACACCCGGAAATTATAAAGAAAACAATTGTCAAAATTTGTTCATTATTTTCTTTGTTTCCTTATTTTCAATACCTTGAGTGATTGTCCTTGAAAGCTTGTGCCATCCTCTCATCCTGAATCAGGAACAAGTAAACCCATTTATGACTTGGTGATTCATTTCCAATGTGTATCGGGTTATTTACATTTTTAATTTAAGCTCTTGTATGGACTCTGTATGATATTCACCTTTATTTTGGTCAGCTCTAACATGAAATTAGTATAATTTCAATAATATCTCTACGTTTTGTAAATTTTCATGCAAAGAAGGGCATGTATAACATTCACGGAAGAGCTTGCTTAAAACTGTGGTGTTCTTGAATATATTAGAAGATATATTCATTTGTGTGGATCATAAAATGTTTAGTTTACAGATAATTAAGTAGCATTAAAGGTATTGCTTACTCTCTATGTACTGCTTCTGACCAACTTCTTTCATTCATTTTGCAGGTGCTGTGGTAGTAAATCAAGCTCTGTGCCTTGTACCATTGATAGCTTTGTCAGAGGACTGGTTGTTTGTTCGACGACCGGAGGCAGTCAATGCTTTACCATACACATCTATAATTATGGAAATTATTGGTTAGTTACACAGTATTTTTATCTCCTTCTGCACACTCCTACTGTGCTCTCCTTCCTCTTCTTTGTCAACATCTCCTTATCCCTCACCTTCCTTCCTTCCTTCCTCAACATTATTCCCTTTTTCTTCCCCATTCCTCTCTCCTTCTCTCCCTCCTTCCTCTTTTTTCATTCTCCTCTTCTCTACTTCTGCCCATCCTTTCCCTCCTCCTCATTTTTTCTGCTTCTCTCCTCAACTTCCTTCTACTCTGCTCCTTCTTCTATCCTCCCCCCAGTGTCCTCCCCCAGTCCTCCCCCAACCTTCCCCAACCCTCCCCCAGTCCTCCCTACCACTTCCCTCCTCCTCTTGTTTTTCTCCCCTCTCCTTCTCCTCTTCTGCCACCTCTATTTCCCCCCGTTTTTCCTCTCACTATCTCTTTTTTTGTGTTGTGCTCCTTATCGTCATCTCTCTTTTCTCTTCATCGTAACTTTTCATTTTCTTTCATTGTTTCAGCCTTCCTCCTGCTCTTTTTCCTTCTTTTATCTCATTCTCTTCTCTTCTTCTTATCTTGGTTTTCCTCTATACACTCTATTTCTTTTCCTACTCTTTTCCTCCTCTTTCCTTCTCTCCCCTCCTCCTTTC